ACGTGAAGAACGAGAGGCATCTACATCTGCAGAACGTGAAGAACGAGAGGCATCTACATCTGCAGAACGTGAAGAACCAGTGGCATCTACATCTGCAGAACGTGAAGAACGAGAGGCATCTACATCTGCAGAACGTGAAGAACGAGAGGCATCTACATCTGCAGAACGTGAAGAACGAGAGGCATCTACATCTGCAGAACGTGAAGAACGAGAGGCATCTACATCTGCAGAACGTGAAGAACGAGAGGCATCTACATCTGCAGAACGTGAAGAACAAGAGGCATCTACATCTGCAGAACGTGAAGAACGAGAGGCATCTACATCAAAAGAACGTGAAGAACCAGTGGCATCTACATCTACAGAACGTGAAGAACTGGTGGCATCTACATCTGCAGAACGTGAAGAACCAGTGGTATCTACGTCTGCAGAACGTGAAGAACCAGTGACATCTACATCTACAGAACATTAAGAACCAGTGGCATCTACATCTGCAGAACGTGAAGAACCAGTGACATCTACATCTACAGAACATTAAGAACCAGTGGCATCTACGTCTGCAGAACGTGAAGAAGCAGTGACATCTACATCTACAGAACATTAAGAACCAGTGGCATCTACATCTACAGAACGTGAAGAACGAGAGGCATCTACATCTACAGAACGTGAAGAACCGGTGACATCTACATCTACAGAACGTGAAGAATCAGAGACACATACATCTGCAGAATGTGAAGAACCAGTGGCATCTACATCTGCAGAACGTGAAGAACCAGTGGCATCTACATCTGCAGAACATTAAGAACCAGTGGCATCTACATCTACAGAACGTGAAGAACTGGTGACATCTACATCTACAGAACGTGAAGAACCAGTGGCATCTACATCTCCAGAACGTGAAGAACCAGTGGCATCTACATCTGCAGAACGTGAAGAACCAGTGGCATCTACATCTGCAGAACGTGAAGAACGAGAGGCATCTACATCTCCAGAACGTGAAGAACCAGTGGCATCTACATCTACAGAACGTGAAGAACCAGTGGCATCTACATCTGCAGAACGTGAAGAACTGGTGACATCTACATCTGCAGAACGTGAAGAACCAGTGGCATCTACATCTGCAGAACGTGAAGAACCAGTGGCATCTACATCTGCAGAACGTGAAGAACGAGAGGCATCTACATCTGCAGAACGTGAAGAACGAGAGGCATCTACATCTGCAGAACGTGAAGAACGAGAGGCATCTACATCTGCAGAACGTGAAGAACGAGAGGCATCTACATCTGCAGAACGTGAAGAACGAGAGGCATCTACATCTGCAGAACGTGAAGAACGAGAGGCATCTACATCTGCAGAACGTGAAGAACGAGAGGCATCTACATCAAAAGAACGTGAAGAACCAGTGGCATCTACATCTACAGAACGTGAAGAACTGGTGGCATCTACATCTGCAGAACGTGAAGAACCAGTGGTATCTACGTCTGCAGAACGTGAAGAACCAGTGACATCTACATCTACAGAACATTAAGAACCAGTGGCATCTACATCTGCAGAACGTGAAGAACCAGTGACATCTACATCTACAGAACATTAAGAACCAGTGGCATCTACGTCTGCAGAACGTGAAGAAGCAGTGACATCTACATCTACAGAACATTAAGAACCAGTGGCATCTACATCTACAGAACGTGAAGAACGAGAGGCATCTACATCTACAGAACGTGAAGAACTGGTGACATCTACATCTACAGAACGTGAAGAACTGGTGGCATCTACATCTGCAGAACGTGAAGAACCAGTGGCATCTACACCTGTAGAACGTGAAGAATCAGTGGCATCTACATCTACAGAACGTGAAGAACCGGTGACATCTACATCTACAGAACGTGAAGAATCAGAGACACATACATCTGCAGAATGTGAAGAACCAGTGGCATCTACATCTGCAGAACGTGAAGAACCAGTGGCATCTACATCTGCAGAACATTAAGAACCAGTGGCATCTACATCTACAGAACGTGAAGAACTGGTGACATCTACATCTACAGAACGTGAAGAACCAGTGGCATCTACATCTCCAGAACGTGAAGAACCAGTGGCATCTACATCTGCAGAACGTGAAGAACCAGTGGCATCTACATCTGCAGAACGTGAAGAACGAGAGGCATCTACATCTCCAGAACGTGAAGAACCAGTGGCATCTACATCTGCAGAACGTGAAGAACTGGTGACATCTACATCTGCAGAACGTGAAGAACTGGTGACATCTACATCTGCAGAACGTGAAGAACCAGTGGCATCTACATCTGCAGAACGTGAAGAACCAGTGGCATCTACATCTACAGAACGTGAAGAACCAGTGGCATCTACATCTACAGAACGTGAAGAACCAGTGGCATCTACATCTGCAGAACGTGAAGAACGAGAGGCATCTACATCTGCAGAACGTGAAGAACCAGTGGCATCTACATCTGCAGAACGTGAAGAACGAGAGGCATCTACATCTGCAGAACGTGAAGAACGAGAGGCATCTACATCTGCAGAACGTGAAGAACGAGAGGCATCTACATCTGCAGAACGTGAAGAACGAGAGGCATCTACATCTGCAGAACGTGAAGAACGAGAGGCATCTACATCTGCAGAACGTGAAGAACGAGAGGCATCTACATCTGCAGAACGTGAAGAACGAGAGGCATCTACATCAAAAGAACGTGAAGAACCAGTGGCATCTACATCTACAGAACGTGAAGAACTGGTGGCATCTACATCTGCAGAACGTGAAGAACCAGTGGCATCTACGTCTGCAGAACGTGAAGAACCAGTGACATCTACATCTACAGAACATTAAGAACCAGTGGCATCTACATCTGCAGAACGTGAAGAACCAGTGACATCTACATCTACAGAACATTAAGAACCAGTGGCATCTACGTCTGCAGAACGTGAAGAACTAGTGACATCTACAGAACATTAAGAACCAGTGGCATCTACATCTACAGAACGTGAAGAACGAGAGGCATCTACATCTACAGAACGTGAAGAACCAGTGGCATCTACATCTACAGAACATGAAGAACCAGTGGCATCTACATCTGCAGAACGTGAAGAACCAGTGGCATCTACATCTGCAGAACGTGAAGAACGAGAGGCAGAGGAAAGTACAGCAGCCGGGGACGTTATAGGTCGCCCATGCCACAACCAATGACCTTTGATCTCCATAAAAGAACTGGCCCAGATATATTTTACTGCAGTGCTGACCCCGTGGGATTGGTTTGTCTTTCATAATTAGCGGCCACGATCCATCTACTGATAAATGAACCCCCCGCCGGAGACTCCACAAGCCATCGCCATCTTTTGCACAATGATTCATCTGCCTCTATTTCAGCTGTTGGGTAAATAAAAACATTGTGGACTTTTCCCACGAATTTTTACTTCCAATTGTGTAGGAAATCCATGCAAACCTCAGGGAGAGAGACACGCAAACTACAAACACACAGCCATCGTCGGGATTCAACCCACAAACTCCTGTGTAACAGTTTAACACGTAGGCTTTCGCGACCAATGTTATTCATAATCAACGTTTTTGGGTTTAGATCGCGTTATTTATAAATGTGTCATAACCCTCCACCACCCGACACGGCCAATAAGTAAAAAAGTGTCACGTTGACAAAAGACAAATAGTTCACTGCTTTAGCCCACCGGTGTGTTGAAGCCACAACATTTACAATTTGAGTACGACGTTTTCTGTGGTAATTTTGTTCAACATCTACAACCAGACTGCTTAGAGACCTGGGAATTAAGGGCCAGAGCCAGCGTTCGGCAATCAGAGCTGTATCGGAGGCGGCAGAAGGCAGCAGTCAGTGGCTCTGGATGAAGAGGAAAGACCCCAGCTGGGCCCCAAAGTGAGAGGGCCAGGAGGTATGCAGTCAACAATGCTTGACTCAGGGAGGAGGACGCCCCTGCCATGCATAGTCCCATGGGATGTTGGCTATCAACAACAAGGCAACTCCTATGACTAATTGGGAATGGGACGCAAGCGTAGGATTGATCACCCTGTCGCTGGCCGCCTTTGGGGAGGGTGTATAGTATGAAAGGCCGAAACACCCTAGGACCCAAAGGTTCACTACTGACGATGCGCTCCCCAAATTTCACCAGGCTCACTGTTCATGAACTCTTGGAAGTGCTTGCACAAAGGATAATAACATCTCATCCTGTGTTCTTTGGAATCATAATTGCATCCAGCATCATCGGGCAATTCGCCAGAATGTGTAACAGGCGAGGCAGTTCACATTTCGGCGTCACTGCGGTCACGGCAGAAGGGGGGAGAGGGACTCACCAGCGTTGGCACTTCCGACGCCGGCTGGCGGCGTGCGTGGTGATGGTGTGCTCATGCCGTCGTAGCGGTGACGCGTACTTGTGGTGGTGGTATCGGTGGCGTTGCTGGCGGTGTTTGCGGCGACGGTTATAGTGGTGGTGGCGGCAGTGGTGGTGGCAGTGGTGGCGGCATTGGTGGCGGCAGTGGTGGTGGCAGCAGTGGTGGTGGTGGCATTGGTGGTGGTGGTGGTGGCGGCGGTGGTGGTGGCGGCAGTGGTGGTGGTGGTGGCGGCAGTGGCAGCGGTGGTGGTGGCATTGGTGGTGGTGGCAGCGGCGGTGGTGGTGGTGTTGGCGGCGGCATTGGTGGTGGTGGCAGTGGTGGTGGTGGCGGCAGTGGTGGTGGTGGTGTCGGCGGTGATGGTGGCGGCGGTGGTGGTGGTGTGGGCGGTGGTGGTGTCGGCGGTGGTGGCGGTGGTGGTGGCATTGGTGGCGGCAGTGGTGGTGGCGGCAGTGGTGATGGTTTCGGCAGTGGTGGTGGTGTCGGCGGTGGTGGTGGCGGCAGTGGTTGTGGTGTGGGCAGTGGTGGTGGCGGCAGTGGTGGCAGCATTGGTGGTGGCGGCAGTGGTGGTGGTGTGAGCAGTGGTGGTGTGAGCAGTGGTGGTGGCGGCAGTGGTGGTGGTGGTTTCGGCAGTGGTGGTTTCGGCAGTGGTGGTGGTGTCGGTGGTGGTGGTGGCGGCAGTGGTTGTGGTGTGGGCGGTGGTGGTGGCGGCAGTGGTGGCGGCATTGGTGGTGGCAGTGGTGGTGGTGTGGGCGGTGGTGGTGGCGGCATTGGTGGCGGCAGTGGTGGTGGTGGTGGCGCCCCAGAGGCCACTGCTGCTGCCGTCCGGCGTGGTGCTGGGCCACGCCAGCTCACCGCGTGGCACCGCTCCCGGCTCCGAGCTGCTGCCAGCGACTGTGGGGAGCGGTTTACCTAAGGGGGGGGGGGGGGAAGATAGCGAGTGAGGAGACAGAGCCGAATGACAAGGGAATGCCCTTTTAGCCCCCCTCTATCTGGCCAAACAAAATCTGTTGAGGCAAGCGGTGGCTGGGCACGCGGTGGCTGGGCACGCGGTGGCTGGGCACGCGGTGGCTGGGCATGCGGTGGCTGGGTATGCGGTGACTGGGCACGCGGTGGCTGGGCATGCGGTGAATGGGCACGTGGTGGCTGGGCACGCGGTGGCTGGGCATGCGGTGGCTGGGCATGCGGGCTACATGACCCAGCCAACACAGCCTGCAGGAGGAGCTCCCTGATGGGACTTTGTCCAGTTCTTTCAAGTATTTGTGAGCTCTTCACACAATCCGGCTTGGTGAAACCCGGATGGATCATCGGCAAGACTGCCTCAAGGTTTCTAACTGGCAAAGATGTTCCATTAACGGAATGGACGTTTCGCAAGCGAGAGAAGGGAGGGCACGAACGTGGTCAAGAAGACCGCTGCTGGATTGGAGGGGGCCGGCCTGGCCCCCCCTCCCGCCCCCCCCCCGCTCACCCAGCACTTGAACGATGACGTTGGCTAGGATGGTGCCGTGCCGGTTGGAGCTTTCACACTGGTACATGGCGGTGTATCCCTTGTGCAGCCCCCTGAGCGTCAGGAAGTCGCCGTCCACGCTTCGCCAGGGCACAGCGGGGGCCTCTGCTCCACCGCACAACGACACGACACTCGGCACGGTTTGGTGCGGCCTTGGCACGATTCGGAAGAATGGCAAAGTTAGTTACGACTCGGCATTATTTGGCATCGTGAATTTTTCACAATTTGGCTTAACACCATTGGAACCTCATTTGCCAGTAGAAAAATATGATAATTGTTTTTTACCCTTCTATCTGGCAACAAAACTGACACCTTTTTACAAGGAGTCATGTTTGCATTGACCACAATACCTGCAGTCGTAATGCAAACAAAAAACATAACTCTGATAATGTATGCACTGTCCTTGAAGTTGATTGGTCCACACCCAAGACAGCTTTCCTTAGAGCCTAGTCTCACATGGGTTGTGCGCCTTTTGGCGTCATCTGGTCAAACTTGGCATTATTTGGCATCGTGAATTTTTCACAATTTGGCTTAATTCGGTATGCTCTGTGATTGGTTGACTGAGCTGCGAGCATGGCCCTGTGATTGGCTGTGAGCGAGCGAGCCAAGTCAGCGAGCGGGAGGTCGGCCGCTCCCCGTTCACAGCCCCGGCGTCTCACCGTCGATCGGGACGCCGTTGATGAACCATCGGGCGACCGGTTTAGGGATTCCGTTGGCGAGGCACGCGAGCTTCACGGAGTCCCACGGGGCGTAGACATGCTTCACTCGCCCCGGAGCGATCCAGTAAGGCTTGGCTGTCGCGGCCGAGAAAACAAGGAGGGGAGGAGGGTGGTGGTGGTGGAGGAAATTTGCCACACGTGGAAACACCAAGACAAAAATGCCCCACGCAGCCTGTAACAGTAGGGACAGGTTCTGTTAGCGAGTAGCAGCACCTCTGGTGGCACACGAGGGGGTGGGTGGCCAGCACCACGCCCGGCCGCCTTTGTCTCTCCAGCAGCGAAGTTTACCGCTACACACACTGCACCGGGGTACTCGTTTGAGGCCGAGCCAACCTAGGGGAGGCCTCAGGAGCGGTTGAGATAATCGCCGCCAGGACCCGCTAACCGCCGTTCCACCGCTCCTCCCTCCGTCGCCCCGAGAGGCACCTTCCACGGTGACGGTGACGGTGTGCAGAGCTTGGCCCTCGCTGTTGCCGGCACGGCACTGGTAGACACCGGCGTCGCTCAACGATGCGTGCCGAATCACCAGCATCCGGTTGAAGTCGCCGAAGGTGACGTGGTCTTGTGGGAGCTCCCCGCTCACCTTGACCCAGCTCACCCGCGGTGTGGGGCTACGCGCACGCACGTGTATTGTTCAGTAGCGTCGTGTATCAGGCCTCGGCAAGGTAAGGTAATTGTACCATTTTTACCGGGTAAAAGGGTAAAGGTGTCGGCATGCCAAGGGGTAAGGGTAAAGGGTAGGGTAAAAAGTAGGCTCGTTGCTTTTTACCTTGTACCTTACCTGCTAAAGGGTAAAAGGTAAGGGTAGAGTGATTGTATTGTGGTAAGGTAAAAGGTAGGGTAAAGGTAGGCTCGTTGTTTTTACACTTTCACCTTGTACCTTGCCGAGGCCTATCGTGTATAGTATCTGGTGTATAGTGGAGTGACTTAAAGCGTTCGTGACTGCAGGAATTCACATTCTTTGGCTCTTTCGGGAAAGCCCCGTAGATAGACAATAATACAAATATCACGACGTTTCGATCGCAACACGAGCAATCGTCATCAGAGCCGCTGAGGGAGGTTCATCAACGGCTGCATCAGCAGCTCTCCCGCAATTTTGTTTCACTTGATGACGATTGCTCGTGTTGCGATTGAAACGTCGTAATATTTTTTATAATTTTTCTCTCTACGTGGTTTTACCGGAAGACCCAAAGAATATAGTGTAGTGTATAGTGTAGTGTATAGTAGTGTATAGTAGTATAGTGTAGTGTATAGTGTAGTGTATAGTGTAGTGTAGTGTATAGTGTAGTGTATAGTGTTGTGTATAGTAGTATAGTGTATAGTAGTGTAGTGTATAGTGTAGTGTATAGTGTAGTGCATAGTAGTGTAGTGTATAGTGTAGTGTATAGTGTAGTGTATAGTGTAGTGTATAGTGTAGTGTATAGTGTATAGTGCATGTACTTACAGCCCTTGTACGATGCACACCAGCAGCAGTGCGTCTCCCCGAAGCACCAGCTTGCTGCTCGTGTCACCCGCAGGCTCCACGATCAGCGGACGACTCGCGGTACTCTTTGGGTCTTTCGGTAAAGTCACGTAGGTGAAGAATAAAAAAAATAAAATTAAATCACGACGTTTCGATTGCAACACAAGCAATCATCATCAGGTGTGACAACCACAGCGAGAATATTTTTACTGAAGTTGGAGACATGCCGGAGTTAAGGGGTCCATGTAAGTCAGAGAGGACGGTGGGGGGGGGAGGGAATAAGGGCGGGGGGGGGGCAAAGCAGCGACACAATTTCAGCCAAAACATGATAGCGCTCAAAACAAAAGCCGCACTGCTAAACGCTGAGGATGCAATTAACTCGGTAAAAATTAACCCGTAAAAACAAAGTTTTTCACTATAAATCCTTTATATGCGTGGCGGCTAGAGTCCTCTCGTCCTCTGGCTTGAGATGGCTGCCACCTATGGGTCAGATGATTGTCTGCCACCATTAAGCAATTGGTAATTAAATATATTAAAAAATACCCTAAACAGTGTAAAATTTTGGGAAAATTTTTTCACGAAAATTAATTGTCACGCACAACGAGTCTGTGTGCAAAATGTCAGCTCGATTGGATCACGGGAAGTGGGTTAAAAAACGACCGAAAGATTTGCACGGTCCTAAGCAAGCAATCAAGCAAGCAAGCAAGTGAACTTAATATAAAGGATTTAAAATAGACTAGGACCCGGTAAATAAGATGGAACTATGAACAGTTACATTTTATCTGGTTAATAACATCTTTCCAATGATTGCTCAATTTGTATCCATCCTCTCGCTTGAAGTTATGCTTATGTTTATATATCTGGATGGCTTCATGAACAAATCTTTGATGGTAGCCAGACGGCTTGCAGAGCACTTTGTCTTGGAGAAAACAATATCATGAGAGCCCACAGCGTTGTAGCAATGGTCAGCTACGGCGGAAGAATTAGTTCTGCCGTGTTTCAGATCTGCCTTGTGCTCGCGGATACGGTCAGAGACATGACGTTTCATTTCCCCAATGTGACAATCACCACAGATGCAACTTAGTTTGTAGACTTCAGGGTATTGCAAGTCAGAAATGATATCCTTCACAGATGGGAATAGATCCCGGATTTTGTGTACTGTATTGAATCGGACCTGGATCTTGTGTTTGTTTAAGATTTTGGAAACGTTTCTAGTAACGCCTGCTATGTATGGTAACGTGATGGTTTTGATCGGCGTCTCAGGGGTTGTTTCTCCATGGTTGGAGAAACAGCTTTGCAGATAGTGCGGTCCGAGTACCCATTCATCTTGAGGGCCTGGTGGTCGTGTTCCAATTCACTGGCGAGGTGGTGTTGGTCAGAAATGCAGTGGGCCCTATGGTGTAGGGTTTTGAGGAGGGAATTCTTCCGTGCCAGATGGTGGCGGGATTCAGGCTTCAGATAGGAATCTGTGTGGGTGGCTTTCCTGTAGACAGAATGTCCCAAAGAGCCATCTTCGATGGACGAGGTGTGTATATGCGTGCGGATCCATGTATGTGTATGAGCGTGTCTGTGCGTGAATGGGTAGATAGGTAGCATAATGGTCAGCGCTACGCTGCACTACGCTGAGCCCCATTTGTCGGAAAGACAGACCTGTTCATTCAGACGCTGTCTCCCCGACAGACCTGTTCTTCACCTGAGGACGGCTGCTTGCGTTGTGGCCGAAACGTCGTGAGAATTATTTTATAATGTTTTATTTTATTATTTTATTATTTCCCTTCTACGTGACTTTACCGAAAAGAACCAAGAAGATTCCCCTCATGGCGTTACTAGACACCACGGTGGCCCAAACGGACCTCCGAACGGGTACGAGGAGGGCTGGTAACCCCTCTACCTTCAATTAATTACCACAAAACTGTGGGAAAATATCTAGCGAAGCTTGTGCCGGAGGCCTCAGGGGGACAGGTGTCTATGACGTCTCCTGGCTGAGCCCATTTGGCAGAACCAGGAGACTCAATCTTCACCTCGGGGTTCCTCCAGAATTCTCACTGCGGAGGAGAGGCTGCCACTCCTCTGGCGGGAGCTGGATTGGTACCGCCTGGATCTGCGGTATTCAGAAGGTCCGATGGACTGGCTCTGGCTCCTGCCACCACGAGGGGTGGACAGTCCTCTACTCAGGGCAGGAGACTGTCAAACAACAGGGAGTGGATCTTCTTCTGAACAAAAGAATGAAGGGGGCGTGGGAGCGTTGCAGTTAGCTGTGGGAAGCTGTAATCCCCAGGCTACTTGGAGCTCGCAATCCCATCAACCGGAGGCGAGGAGTGGTGGTCGTGGTTACTTACGCCCCCACCAAAGATGAACATCCGTGGAGGGATGCAGGCAAGGCCGATGAGTCAGATGCCTTTTATGACATCCTGTCACAGATGCTAGCTGTTGGGTGATTTGAGTGGATCATGATTCTGGCACCTGGTCTGGAGTGATTGGAAGGCATGGGCCAGATCAACTCAATAACAATGGTACCACAGCGCTTGTGCCAGACTATGTGCACGTTGAAGCCATGTGAAGTGTCGAACGACCGCTGGCAGGTGGTCACTGGGCAGACCCAGCAGGTGCCACGGTCGACTGACTGAGATGACTGGTCAATGCACCACCTGTGCCAACTTGCTGTGCTTTCACCATCCGGCGCTTCGCTCGTTGTGAGCGTCGCTCCTCCGCCCTCCGTTGTTGCTGGAGGGCGACTGCCTCCTTCACGAACCTTCTCCAGAGGCCAATCTTGACACCGCTGGTACCAGTCATTGGCAAGTCCACTCAGCTCCGCATCCTCCTGTACCACATAACTTCACCTCTTCTCTAGCCCGTGCTGCACCCGTCTAGCCCCATCTATCCGGCTGAACAAAATCCGTTCAGGCATGCGGTGGCTGGGCATACAGGCTACATGACCCAGCCAATGCAGCTTTGCCTGCCAGAGCTCATCAATGGGACTTGGTCCAGATCATTTCAGGATTTGTGAGCTCCTCACGCAATCCAGTCTGGTTATCCCAGGATGGATCAAAGGCAGGCCAGCCTAAATGTTTCTAACCGGCAAAGATGTTTCATTTAGGGGGGAGGGGGTCCACGTGTTGTAAGGATAGAGAAGGGAGGGCATGACTGTGGCCGAGAAGACCTGAAGCTTTGTGTGGAGCGACAGACAAGGAAGCTTCCATACAGCTAATTCCACCCAACTGATTCGGAGTGAGACCTCTGCTGTCAAACCGAAGTCAGTCATGAGCACACTTACCAGGTATGGGAAAGTCTCCACTCTCTCCACAAACAGAAAGATCCCCCGTATAGCCTTAACAGATTGTTGGGGCAAGTGCTGTTAGCGCACACTTATGAAGGCCGCACGGCACACGAGGGGGTGGGTAGCTAACGCCCAGCTGCCTTTGTCCCCCTAGTGGCGATGTTTACACATCGCACCAGGTACTCATTTGAGGCCGAGTCGACCTGGGGGAGGCCCAGGACCGGTTCAGATAATCTTGACCGGTGTTGGCTGTGAGTGGGAATTTAACTTTATCGCGCTCCCCACAACCACACACACACACGCACGCACACACACACACACATACACACACGCATACACACACACATACACACACATACACACACATACACACATACACACACACACATACATACACACACACACACATACACGCACACACACATACACACACACCACACACACACATACACACACACGCACACACACACACGTACACACACACACACATACACACAAACATACCACACACATACACACCACACATACACACACATATCCACACACACACACATACACACATACGCACACACACACACACATACACACACACACACATACACACATACACACACATACACACACATACATACACACACATACACACACACACACGCCGATCGCCGCGGTGCCGCCACTCACTGGGTTGAACCGTCAGTGTGAGCGGCTGCTTCTGGATGGTCCCCGCGTGCGGGAAGTGAGCGTAGCACACGTAGTCGTCCCCGTCACTCAGCAGCACGTTGGCGAAGAACAAGTCTCCGTCCAGGCCCTGGGATACTCGCCCATCCAGCGGTACTCTCTCCATGGCTGCAGCGCCAGCGGCACCCCGGGGGACAGGGAGACAGGGGGACAGGGGAGGGGATCAAGGGGATCAGAATATTTATTTAGGACTGTGGAAGGAGGAATTCGATGCAGCTCTTTGTCAAAGATGTAAACCACTAAAGCGCTTCATCATCTTCTTGGTTCTTTCGGTAAAGTCCACCACGTAGAAGGGAAGTAATAAAATAATAAAAATAAAACACAATAAAATACAATTCTCACGACGTTTCGGCCACAACGCAAGCAGCCGTCCTCAGGTGAAGACCAGGTCTGTCGAGGCGACAGCGTCTGAATGAAACACCACCATGCTAGGAGCGTATATTTAAGCTGGGTTGGAAGGGGGGGAAAGGGCGCCTTGACAAAAGAATATGCATATCAAGAGGCATTTAGCATATTTATGGGAAATGCAGGTATGTGAATAGTAGTACTTATGCCCGTGCATTATGCAGGATTAGCAGCATCAAAGAGAGGGGATATGGGAACTGCAGGAATGTGATTAGTACTACTTATGCCCGTGCATTATGCAGGATTAGCAGCATCAAAGGGAGGGGATATGGGAAATGCAGTTATGTGATTAGTACTACTTATGCCCGTGCATTATGCAGGATTAGCAGCATCAAAGAGAGGGGATATGGGAACTGCAGGAATGTGATTAGTACTACTTATGCCCGTGCATTATGCAGGATTAGCAGCATCAAAGGGAGGGGATATGGGAAATGCAGTTATGTGATTAGTACTACTTATGCCCGTGCATTGTGCAGGATTAGCAGCATCAAAGGGAGGGGATATGGGAAATGCAGGTATGTGATTAGTACTACTTATGCCCGTGCGTTATGCAGGATTAGCAGCATCAAAGGGAGGGGATATGGGAAATGCAGGTATGTGAATAGTACTACTTATGCCCGTGCGTTATGCAGGATTAGCAGCATCAAAGGGAGGGGATATGGGAAATGCAGGAATGTGATTAGTACTACTTATGCCCGTGCATTGTGCAGGATTAGCAGCATCAAAGGGAGGGGATAATGGGAAATGCAGGAATGTGATTAGTACTACTTGTGCCCGTGCATTGTGCAAGATTAGCAGCATCAAAGGGAGGGGATAATGGGAAATGCAGGTACGTGATTAGTACTACTTGTGCCTTCATCATCATCCGCCATGCAAATCATGGAAGCAGCGGCAGATGTGGAGGATGCCTGCAAAAGTGGTGCAAATGTGGTCACCCAGAAGAGACAGCGTACAATGGACAACGCCGCACTGCTTCCGGTCCACAAATAGGACGGAGACATCGCGGCAATGATGCACTCCGCTTCGCTTGCCTGGCTTGCCCACCTCATTGTGAAATTGTAGTCATTGTCTCTGCATCTACATCAGCAGTTGTACAAAAGAAGACCTCCTGCATACCAGGCGAGGTAGTCAACATCTGCTAGCCACCGTGATGATGATGAGAGAGAGACACGCAAACTACAAATATACAGCAGCAGGCGTCGTCTGGGTCGGGATCGAACCCACAACTTCCTGTGTATAAGGCGAGGTAGTCAACATCTCACAGCCACCGTGATGATGATGAGAGAGAGACACGCAAACTACAAATATACAGCAGCAGGCGTCGTCTGGGTCGGGATCGAACCCACAACTTCCTGTGCATCAGGCGAGGTAGTCAACATCTCACAGCCACCGTGGTACTCACAGCCGTCCATCCAGAAGACGATGGGAGGAGGAAAGCCTTGGGGAGGGCGGCAGCGCAGCACGGCCGGCAAGCCCTCGGTGGCCATGACGGGTTCCAGCTGTTCACGGGGCCACAGGGGAGCACCTGCAGGACACAGACAAAACCACCCATGTAGCCTTACACCTCGATTGGAAGTTTCCGTGACTGCAGGGATCCATACTCTTTGGTTCTTTCGGTAGAGTCACGTCGGTATATAATTAATAAAATCACGACGTTTCGGGCGCAACACACAAGCGTCCGTCACCAGGTGGGCAAAAGGGCTGCCGTGACAAGAGGCTATATAGGTGCTGAGTAGTTCCGACGGACGTACTCGGAGACGGAGGTAAGTTAGGGGCATCCGCCAGGGTTTATTAAAGCTGTTACAATATTACACAGCAGGGTACACAACTCCCAGGGGCGAGGGGGGTCCTACTCTGAGTCCGGGTCCCTGCCGGCTCGCTCCGGTCTCTCTCTCGTGTCGCATCGTGGGACTCTACCGACTCCACCGAGCGGAGAGAGAAGCACCTCTACGGCTACCACCGGCTTCTCCCCAGACTCACTATTCGATCCCTCTCACTATCCCTGGTTCCCTCTTCACCCTGCTCACTCTACCCGTTCCCACAGTGACCCCGCTTACGTCACGGGGTATCGCTTAAGTACCCCGGGAGACGTGACGTCATCGCACTGAACGGCACACCTGACGTCACGTCCCCATTTTACTCCTCTACATAGGTAAGAGACGGGAGAGGAGCCAAGGAGGAGAGACAGGGAGGGGTGGGGGGTAGGGGGAGTGGAGTGCCGCTAGAGGGATTAAGAAACGAGCAAGGAAATGCCGGGGGGGGGGGGGGGGGGAGGGAAGTGGGCGGGGCTGGGAGTGGGAAGCTGAAGAAACTGGAGATGCGGATATGAAGGCAACACCATGAAGCAGTGAAGGTTTGACCTGGTTAATAACATCCTTCCAATGATTGCTCAATTTGTATCCATTTTCCCGGTTGAAGTTATGTCTATGTTTAGATATCTGCATGGCTTCATGAACAAACCTTTGATCGTAGCCCGAAGGTTTTCAGAGTACCTTGGTCTCGGAAAAAACAATATCATGAGAGCCCACAGCGTTATAGCAATGGTCAGCCACGGCGGAGGAATTAGTTCTGCCGTGTTTCAGATCTGCCTTGTGCTCGCGAACACGGTCCGACACATGCCGTTTCATTTCCCAATGCAACAGCCACCACAGGTGCAACTTAGTTTGCAGACTCCAGGATAATGCATGTCAGGAATGACATCCTTCACCGATGGGATTAGATCACGGATGTTGTGTACTGTACTGAATCGGACCTGGATCTTGTGTTTGTTTAAGATCTTGGAAATATTTTTGGTAACGCCTGCTATGTATGGTAACGTGATGGTTTTGATCGGCATCTCAAGGGGTTGTTTCTCCATGGTTGGAGAAACAGCTTTGCGAATAATGCAGTCCGAGTACCCATTCATCTTGAGGGCCTGGTGGTCGTGTTCCAGCAGCCCTTTTGCCCACTTCACCAATTGTTTCTTGCTGTGGTTGTCCCACCTGGTGACGGTCGCTTGTGTTGGGCCCGAAACGTCGTGATTTATTTTATTTTATACCTACCTGACTTTACCGAAAGACCGTTGGGGTAAGTGCTGTCAGTGAGTAGTAGCACCTGTGAAGACAAAGATCCCCCCTTGTGTAGCCACCCCCTCCACTGCGTCACCGGGTGATCAGCACCACGCCCGGCCGCCTCTGTCTCCCCGGTGGCAAAGTTTACCGCACATCGCACCGGGGACTCGCTTGAGGCCGACTCAACCTTGGGGAGCCCCAGGGCCGGTTCAGTAACAGCAGTTGATTGCTGTACAATTACTACAGCCGGCAGAACGACCGCGCACTGTGTGTGTGGCGTAGCGCTTAGCGTTCTGTGTGTGTGAGTGGTGGCACAGTGGTTAGCGTTCTGTGTGTGTGTGAGTGGTGGCACAGTGGTTAGCGCTGTGTGTGTGGCACAGCAGTTAGCGTTCTGTGTGTGTGTGAGTGGTGGCACAGTGGTTAGCGCTGTGTGTGTGGCACAGTAGTTAGCGTTCTGTGTGTGTGAGTGGTGGCACAGTGGTTAGCGTTCTGTGTGGTAGTCCACGGTCCAAGAGTGGCGTCCCCCCCCCACCCACTTACGCGCCAGCCGCACGGTGATGTTTGGGGTTAGCGTTGTGCCGTCCTGGTTCTCCGCTGAGCAGCGGTAGACGCCCTCGTAGGCCTCTGCGGCTTCGCTGTCGGACTCCGCGGACGCCGCCACCACCGCCGCCATGTCCACGGTGAAGGTGCCCGAGCCATCTCCACGCCGCTTCACGTTAGGGTCGCCGTTCGGGTCAAAGCGCCGGCCGTCCTTACTCCACCGAAACCTCAAGCACAAGCGGGAGGGGGGGAGAGAGGGAGGGATGTGAGAGATGGAAGGAGGAGAGGGAGGGAGGGGTGGGGAGGAGAGGAGAGGGTGTTGTATATACAGTGAGGGGAAAACAGTATTTGATCCCCTGCTGATTTTGTACGTTTGCCACACTGACAAAGAAATGATCAGTCTATAATTTTAGTGGTAGGTTTATTTGAACAGTAAGAGACAGAATAACGACAACAAATCCAGAAAAACGCATGTCAAAAATGTTATAAATTGATGTGCATTTTAATGAGGGAAATAAGATTTTTTTTATTGTTTATTTTCGTTTCTCTTAATACAACGGTTAAAAGTTCAAAACTGAGCGACGTAGATTAAGTCGACATCATAGTCTGCCAACACACTCACCCAGATTAAAAACTACACTGCAGTCACATTGGTGGCCTTGATTGATTAATTACCTCACATTGTTTCTTGTTGTATCTTGCTATCTACGTGACTTTACCAAAAACCAAGGAATATGAATTCTAGCAGTCAAGAAAGCTGAAGTGAAATTTTAGTTAGATCTCTCGCCTCAGGACATCAAAATATAACTCGAGTAAAACAGCACAAATCCCTGGATGCTAAATCACAAATCTTGGATAAACACAAACCAAATAATAATTATGAATCTTAACTTTGGAGCTATCGTGTGTTGACCGACTCTCTGTGTCGTTTTACATAACATTTCGATACTTTGCTAGGTTATTTAATTTTAGTGTGTCTCTTTCTCCCCCTAAGCCTGCTCACTCCTTTTTGTTATACTCATTGACATGTAAATTTCGTCTCTAACCCCCTCCCTCTCGCTGCCTCCGCCCCCCTCTGTCTATTTAAGGCCACCCCACAGAGACGATCACCCCTCTCTGTACCTGTGTTGCCCGCTCTGTGTATCTTGGTGATATCTGTCTGCTTATATGTCTGTCTATAATTTTTTCTGGTTAGATTTTATGTCGCTATTTCATTATACCTGATGATGATTGCTTGTGTTGCAATCGAAACGTCGTATGCTATTATTTAATTTATTATTTTTTCTTTATACGTGACTTTACCGAAAGAACCAAAGAATAATAATTATGAAGTATTCGACCAAGAGTCAACCACAAGGATAAACAAGGCGGAACAGGTCCATCACCCATAACCAAGATAAAATGTATCCCATAGAGAGAGAGAGAGCCTCTGTGAACACTGCTGCAGACATACCTTGAGTCACTTACAGAATCAGAACTACACAAGCGGTACGGTATCAAGCCATGAGAGGTCAAATAATCTTCTTGGTTCTTTCGGTAAAGTCACGTAGAAGGAAAATAATAAAATAATAATAAAACATAATAAAATAATAAACATGAAACATAATAAAATAATAAAAATAAAACATAATAAAATAATAAATATTAAACATAATAAAATAATAATAAAACATAATAAAATAATAAACATAAAACATAATAAAATAATACAAATAAAACATAATAACATTTCGATGTAAAGCTTTCGTGACTGCAGGGATTCATCTTCTTGGTTCTTTCGGTAAAGTCACGTAGAAGGGAAATAATAAAATAATAAAAAATAATAAAAATAAAACATAATAAAATAATTCTCACGACGTTTCGGCCACAACGCATAAGTACATAAATTTGCATACTTTCGGTTAATTCGACATTTTAACATTTTCATTTAATTTTTATTATTTTTTCTTCGAGATTTGAAGCTTTCGTGACTGCAAGGATTCATACTCTTAGTTTTTTCGGTAAAGTCACGTAGGTAAAAAAAAGTGAAATTAAAATTAATAAAAATAAAAGAATAAAAATCACGGTCACAGCAAATTATCTGTATCAAGATATATCTGTATCACTTGATACAGATATATTTTGCTGTGACCGTTTCACCTGAAGACGGAAGCTTGTGTTGCCTCCGAAACGTCGTGATTCTTGTTCCTTTATTTTTATTAATTTTATTTCATTTTTTACCTACGTGACTTTACCGAAAAAACTAAGAGTATTTTATTATTTTATACAAATTTCAAAACCCGACATATACAACAACAAGGGAGGTGGGGAGGTAGCGTACTTGGGCGTTGGGTTGCCATGAGCCTCACACTCCATGACGATCTCGCCCTGCGGGTCCACTACGTAATCCTCCGGCGAATACCGGGTGATGAACGGAGGGCGAGTACCTGCCAGAGATTGATGGGTTAACAAAGCTGTGGCTGCAGCAGTGGCAATAGCAGATTCACACCAACACAGCCAATTCGCGCGGCTTAACGATTTTCAATCAACATGCTAATCTCTCACTAACATGCCAATTTGCACCTGGCAGCCCTTTGATTGGTGGAATACCAACCGCTGTCGGGTTTGCTGCCCACCACTTGCATTGCCATTGGCTGCTGATATTTGGGCGAAGCCCATTTGAAACCCTTACAAAGAGTTTGCCTTGGAAGCTAACCCTCCTTATCCTGAAGACGACCGCTTGTGTTGCGATAGAAACGTCGTAAAATTTCGATTTAAAGCTTTCGTGACTGCAGGAATTCAGCTTCTTGGTTCTTTCGGTAAAGTCACGTAGAAGGGAAATAATAAAATAATAAAAATAAAACAATTAAATAATTCTCACGACGTTTCGGCCACAACACAAGCAGCCGTCCTCAGGTGTAGAACAGGTCTGTCGAGAAGACATTCAGACTCTGTCTTCTCGACAGACCTGTTCTACACCTGAGGACGGCTGCTTGCGTTGTGGAAACGTCGTGAGAATTATTTTATTATGTTTTATGTTTATTATTTTATTATTTCCATTCTACGTGACTTTACCGAAAGAACCAAGAAGATGAAACGTCGTAGTTTAAGTTTTTTGCTATTTTCTTTGAACCTATCTACGCGACTTTACCGAAAACCCCAAAGAATATGAATTCCTGCAGTCACGAAAGCTTCAAGTCAAGATTTAGTTGATAGTCTTTAGTGGACGATTTGGTGGGTGTAGCGTTGAGAGGGGGCATCGTCTCAAGGGGGGTAGCGGTGCAGTTTGCTACTCACGGTCACGGGGCAGGGCGTCGAGGTGGTCACCCAGCACAGCCAACAACAACGACGCCAGAAGAAGGGCGGTGATGAGGAAGGCCTCCATCAGCGGGGGGGGGGGGGGACAGATGGTCAGACTGGGGGCTTCCTTCACTTGGCTAGGAGGAGGGCGTAGAAGGGAGGGAGCAGAGTAGGAGGGGGAGCAGGAGGAATTAGAAGCATTTAAACTGCAAGAGGATGAATCCGAAGCGCTATAAAGCTCTTTTTCACACATGTCCAGCTGGGACACTGGGTCAGAACATGACAACAAACACAATACAAAAACACGGTGTGAGTGCAGAGTACAGTAAGAGTAAACAAATCACTTTACAAATATTTACATATATATTAAAGGCAAAGTTGTGAATATTATGTGTCTGTTCAAAATGTTTAGCGTATTTCCCGACATGCAACGAACTGGAAATTTGCCATGTGGGTACTTTACTTTCCAGACTGTACACCATGCACACATTATTAAAAATACACTTTTGGGGGGGGGGGGGGAGCTCAATAATGCAGAGATTTTTTTGCACAGCAAGTGAACTGTGACGTCACATCTGTCACGTGACCCACGCGTGTGCAGTGTAGTGGTCAGCGCTACGCCGCGCTACGAACCCGGCGACCCGAGTTCGATTCCCGCTCACGGCCACCAGCGATGACGATTATTTAAACCGGTCCTGGGCCTCCCCTAGGTCGACTCAGCCTCAAACGAGTAACTGGTGCGGTGTGTGAACATTGCCACTGGGGAGACAAAGGCGGCCGGGCGTGGTGAATCCAAGTCCCGGGCAAAGCCGGGGGAAGTCCAGCTAGTATACTAATAAATCTAGCCAATGTTTGATGTTGCAGTATAGACAAAACACGGCACTCTAAACGCATTCTTCTAAATGCTGAGGGAAAAACCGGAGGACCCGGAGTAAATTCCATGTGACCACGGGGAGTGAGGCACGTCAACTCCAGATATACAGCAGGTAGTGTCAGTCGGTATCAAACCCACCACCTCCAGTACACCAGGTGACAACCGTGCCAGGTTACACATTCCTGCTGCGGAGGGAGCTGGTAGGAACGTTGGGTTGCTCGCTCAATGGCCTGCAGGGTCAATGGCCAGGGCAATGTGGTGTATTCCGCAAATGTGCCCGACTGTGAGGGCGGGCACAAGCCGGCGTGAGTAGGTTAAACGTTGAGTTTTATAAGGGCACCACGGGGTGACCAGCCCGTCCCCACCCAGCCCCACCCAGCCCCTCCCCACCCAGCCCCACCCTTCCCCACCCAGCCCCACCCCTACCACCCCCCACCCACCCCCTCCCCACCCAGCCCCACCCCTCCTACCCAGCCCCTCCCCACCCCCCACCCAGCCCCTCCCCACCCAGCCTCACCCCTCCCACCCCCCACCCAGCCCCTCCCCACCCAACCCCTCCCTGCACGACGGACGGACACAACAATCCCCTGTGGGCTGGTGGAACCAGTGGGTTCCTACCAGTCAAAGACCTCCTTTGCAAGGGACACTTGGATGCACGCTCATTATTGATGGTCACGTGCTCCTGCGTAGAGCAGCAGAATGTTTACATTTCACATCGGCTGCATTTCATCCAGTGGCACCGATTTTTGAAACCAGATCAATAATACGTATAACCCGTAAAAACAAATTTTTTCACTATAAATCCTTTATATGCGTGGCGGCTAGAGTCCTCTCATCCTCTGGCTTGAGATGGCTGCCACCTATGGGTCAGATGATTGTCTGCCAGTATTAAGGAATTGGTAATTAAATATTTAATTTGTTTTCCCTAAAAAGTGTAAAATTTTGGAAAAAAAATTTCACGAACATTAATTGTCTCGCACAACGAGTATGTGTGCAAAATGTCAGCTCGATTGGATCACGGGAAGTGGGTTAAAAAACGACCGAAAGATTTGCATGGTCGTAAGCAAGCAAGCACGCAAGCAAGCGAACTTAATATAAAGGATTTAAAACCCAACATTGATTATCCCCAGCAAACAGGGCAACGCTGCATCAGCCACAGCTCCAGGTTTCTCCCATCACTTAAAGAGCCCCCGAGTGAGAACACCCTCCAGGATAGAGAGAGACCAACACAGCAGCACTTGCACGTCTGCGCGAGTGCTGTGTGGTGTGAAACAATTGTCACGGGAGGAAATATCAAGTTACATTTCGATTTAAAGCTTTCGTGACTGCAGGGATTCATCTTCTTGGTTTTTTCGGTAAAGTCACGTAGAAGGGAAGTAATAAAATAATACAAATAAAACATAATAAAATAATTCTCACGACGTTTCGGCTACAACGCAAGCAGCCGTCTTCAGGTGAAGAATGAGACACTGCCAAGCTAGGAGCTTTAACAAAAGAATGTGCACATCAAGAGGGATTTAGCTTGCTAAACCCCTCTTGATGTGCACAACACAAGAATGTGCATATCAAGAGGGGTTTAGCTTGCTAAACCCCTCTTGTGCACAACACAAGAATGTGCATATCAAGAGGGATTTAGCTTGCTAAACCCCTCTTGATGTGCACAACACAAGAATGTTTAGCAAGCTAAATCCCTCTTGATGTGCACAACACAAGAATGTGCACATCAAGAGGGGTTTAGCTTGCTAAACCCCTCTTGATGTGCACAACACAAGAATGTGCATATCAAGAGGGGTTTAGCTTGCTAAACCCCTCTTGATGTGCACAACACAAGAATGTGCACATCAAGAGGGGTTTAGCTTGCTAAACCCCTCTTGATGTGCACAACACAAGAATGTGCATATCAAGAGGGGTTTAGCTTGCTAAACCCCTCTTGATGTGCACAACACAAGAATGTGCATATCAAGAGGGGTTTAGCTTGCTAAACCCCTCTTGATGTGCACAACACAAGAATGTGCACACCAAGAGGGGTTTAGCTTGCTAAACCCCTCTTGATGTGCACAACACAAGAATGTGCACATCAAGAGGGATTTAGCTTGCTAAACCCCTCTTGATGTGCACAACACAAGAATGTTTAGCAAGCTAAATCCCTCTTGATGTGCACAACACAAGAATGTGCACATCAAGAGGGGTTTAGCTTGCTAAACCCCTCTTGATGTGCACAACACAAGAATGTGCATATCAAGAGGGGTTTAGCTTGCTAAACCCCTCTTGATGTGCACAACACAAGAATGTGCACACCAAGAGGGGTTTAGCTTGCTAAACCCCTCTTGATGTGCACAACACAAGAATGTGCACATCAAGAGGGATTTAGCTTGCTAAACCCCTCTTAAGGCTCTCTTCTTCTTCCACCTCCAACCCAGCTTATATACAAGCTCCAAGCTTGGCAGTGTCTCATTCTTCACCTGAAGACGGCTGCTTGCGTTGTGGCCGAAACGTCGTGCGAATTATTTTATTGTTTTATTTTTATTATTTTATTACTACCTTCTACATGACTTTACCGAAAAAACAAGAAGAAAAATATCAAGTTGACAAGGCCTCAACACGTCACTCACCGGCGCAACGCTGCGTAGATGTCTGGGGGGGGGTCTTGAGCTCTTTTCTGTGTCCTCATGTGGTGGGGGTGGGGGTGGTGGAAATCCAACGTTTCGTGCCTCTACCACAGGCAGGCGAACGCGTGCGGCTGTGATCGCGTGGAGCCTTGGCAGAGCGCTTTTAGAAAACGTAGCGCGGATAGGAGAACACGTGAGCGCGAATCACAATCTGTAGAATTGATAAGCACCGCCCATTGACAGCACTGCCCATGGAGTGACGTAGGTAGACACGTGCTACAGGCAGCAGGAACAATGTCCCACACTGCTGCCCACCAGGGATCACGTGTCTGTCTGACTGGCTGTCGTGCATAAATAAATATATAATACACACAGCTCTTTGATTGGTGGAGACCTACTGCCGGGTACGGAGAGGGGAGGGGCCTAAGGGAGGGGGGGTCAGGGGAGGGGTCTAGGGGAGGGGCCGATAGTGAAGGGGGCTGGCTACCTGGCTACCTCAAGTCACGTGATCTTGTACACAGCAGGTAGGAACAGCAGTTCCACACCGCTGCCCACCAGGGATTATTTGTCTGTCTGTCGTGCATGGCCCCTCC